TATATATATATATATATATATATATATATATATATAGAGAGAGAGAGAGAGAGAGTTTTATTAAACAAGTGTATTTCTACTGAAATCATTATATTAAACTACTTATATCATTATGCACATTACTGTCATAAAAAATCACTTTTAATAATAAACAATATTTGTATACTCAAAAAGTAAAAATAATAAGATGTATTTATGAGATAAAAAAAACTGAGTAATGTGTAGTTGGTGAGTCACAACATGTAAAAAATAAAAATAAAAATTGTTGGTTGCATGAATTGGATAGTTAGATCGAAAAGAGAGATGGTAAAAACTAAAAAAAAAGTGAACTAATTAAAATGTTAACATTGTTGGAATCATTAAAAAAATTTCTGTGATCGCCAAATTCATGCAAACATCTTTATAACTTGAAATATATCATGGTGCTGATAAATATTCCTACATATATATCAGAAATCTAAAGGATACTGAAATATATTATTATTTATATTAATATTCATCATCATCATTCATCAAATAACAGATTATGTGAGGTTTCTCTCTCTCAGTTAGTCCACTCCATGAGATGGTAAATGGTTCTGAAACACGTCAATTCGAGGCTCGTCACAGGTGACAACAAATTCATCACCAGGTATGAACTCTTTGAAGCATGCGAGTCTCCCCAGTTCCTCAACTTCCTCGATCACAAGATCCAGTTTTGCAACTGTTTCCACAAGCAAAGATGCAAATGCAGCAAAAGGAAGAGCCTCAGAGAACTCAAGGCTAGTGATTGCAATTTTACTCAGTTGGGGCCTCAGAGACTTTCGTTCTGATTCCTTTGTCTGTTCAGTGGTAACCCTTTTGTTTTTCCACTCCAGCAATGCCGAAGAATCGGTTTTAACACTTGAAAGGGAGGTCTTTCCATGCCCAACTTGTTCGGCAGCTATTTTGAACATGTTGCTGGCTTGGTTGTGCCTGTGTTTCGGGCCCAAGAAGAGCCGAGGTTGAGATTTTATGGCAGTGTTCAGGTCCTGCAGGGCTTCGTGCAGATGATCGGACAGTATTTCTGGAGAGCAATGCCGGCGATTCCTTATGCTGTTGGAAAGTTCTATCAGTACTTTCGATACCTCTGCTGCAAGCCGAATGCAAGGGTCCTTGAACATGGCTCTCACAGATCGTGGTGTCTAAAACAAGTGATATCAGTTTAAGAAAATAACTTTCAATTCTCTTTTTCAATTAACGACATTTACAAATATCAAATGTTAGATTAAACTTTATTTCAAATGCAACATTTATGAAGCTGATACCTGAATTTCTGTTCTCAAACAGCCGTGAAGGGCCACAACAGTATAACCAAACTGACGCAGAACAGCTCCAACTTTCACATATTGCTGCCATGGAAATCTGTGACAGTACCTAGAGTGCCTTGGCTCCCAACTTGCATGCAATGCCTGCACAATTCAAAATAGAACAGAGTGATTCACTGCATTCAAAGATAACGAATGTATTTGAATGAACTAATTAATACATGACTCACTCACTGCCTTACCAGTGTTTCATCAATGGATTTTGAATCCAAAACAGCCTTATAACCTTTGTATATTGGATCCTCAGACAATTTTATATCTCCAGATCCTTCTAGCTCTCCATAAAAGTATTCATTCACACAGGCTGCAACATTTTTAAAATGTCTTAATTTCACAAGAAATGGTAAAGAAAATAAGTATCACTGCCTTTTACTACTTTTGCACCCGAATAAACTCTCTTTTAGTTTCTATACTTCGAAGTAATTTATTTTACTCTGTAAATACATTATTTTTAATCTATGCAATTTTAGATGATAAAAACTAAAACTGATATGTATATGTATGGACTAAAAAATATTAAAATGATATATAGAAGAATCGAAATATATAATTCTTCAGAGTAGAAATCTAAAGGAAAAGTTTATAAAACTACAAATAGTTAAGCCTGAAGTTAATATTACTATAGGTAAAAGACACAGGGAGATTAAAATTAACATGACTGCAAATACACAAATGTACATCATGCGCATACACTTTTACAGAAGAAATTATTACATAATCTGAAATTTATGATTTCAAGAATCTCTATATTAACTGTTTTTTCACACGTTCAAACACACTTTCTCACAACACACATGCAAACATGCATCAGCCATACACATAATTTATATAAATAAAGTAATAATCTTAAATTATGAAAGAGAAGATGTGTGTATTCAAAACTAGTGCAGATACTGCAAAAATGATCAAATTCAGAAACTGGATATGTGTCCAATAAATGTATATAACATGGGATGAGACTATTTTTCTAAAGTGGAAATGCCTTCTATAGATTTGAATATTAGAAGTTTGTGTACCTTCTATAGATTTTGCAAGGCCTTCAAGCTTGTAAACAGTGGAATTATGGAGGTCTTCTCCTGACCAATTTGGAAATACCAGAAGACTCATGAGAAGGCAAACAGCACAGCCTATGGCAATGGTGTATACACGCTCATGTGCAATCTTCAACACATTATCAACCCGGTAGCTTGAGACAGCAATAAGGTTGAAAGTCAAGAGAAATATAACTATACCATAGTCATAATTCTTCTTGATATAGGGAATAAACCTGATATAAGTAGCTAGAGCTCCTGCAATAAGAGTATTAATTTTTAGTCATCATCACAGGCTCACTTTATGCTAATGATCATTTTGCTCTCTCCATTGAGAAAAACCAAGAATGAAGTGAATAACTAATCAGAATGTTAACACTGGTAGAATCATTAAAAGACAGCCCTTTTGATCAGGAGCATCAATTTCAAGTCTTGATTTCTCATAAAGTTGTAAAGCAAATCTATCCACCTATAAAAAAAACTGCAGCTCCGATGATGATAGCTTGAGAGACTCTGCCAGATGCATCTGCAACATACCCAACAATAAATGCCAATAATCCTGCTAACAGTGTTCCCAATCCTCTGTTGAGTCCTTTGCACAAAGTTGCCCCTGGAACCATATAAAGACGTTAAGGTCATCCAAAACATTTCATGCAGCAAGGGCCTTTTATTGTACATAAGAAAGTATCAAGTAATGAGAGTAGTTAATTTTGATCACAAAAATTTGTCATTTAAGAGAATTACTTGCCTGCTGTGAATTCCAACACAACCACCACAGTCATGACAGCCCAAATAGCACTCTGTCCAATGCTCTTGTAAAATGGCTCCAACAAGTACAACAGAGAAACCAGAGTGAGGGACAAACCAACTTTGACTGCATGGATCAACCTTCTTGGATCTTCACGTCCCACCCTCCATGTAGTTTGCCAAGCCTTAGTAGGAATTCTCCTCACCCTCTCACCAAAAACATGCACACGTTTCTTCCAGTTACCATTCATTATGCAATTATCATTCTCAACCATTGCCATTTCCTGGCCAGCATAAACTTTGGGAACCATTATCAAGGTGCAAGTTCTAGCTTGAGACGACACTATAGTAGAGACCGTGACAACGTAGAAATGCAACAAGTTAATAGGCTTCTCAGGAGGTGTTTCATATTTCAGTAGCCATAACACAAGAAATAGTTTTATAAAACGGAAAAGGAATCGATATTTTTGTCATTTTGTGGGTTAATGGGGAGTCTAGATGCATGAAAGAGAACCCCAATTTTGTCCATGAAGCAAGTGTGAAACTTTATAAGGAGGGTGATAGGTGGAAGCTGGCAATGTCATTTCTAGCTTCACGTGTATTCCATTAAAGTGGCAGTGCTTTAAACTGAGTATCTCTCTCAAGTCTTAAAAAGTTGAAAAAGAGAAGGGAACTCCAATTACACAGGTACTATTTTTTGTGGTGACTGGTTCCCTGTTACCTTGATGATTATGTTGTCAGTGTATTTTTTATGGAGGTCAATATTATGAGGGTACATGTAAGCCATTAAAATACGGCAAAGAATGCTTCAAATTTTCTCCACCACATCATGTAAATTATATGTAGAAATACTTGCATTTGATGCTGAGTATGGTGAAGGTGACAAGTTGCACCGACCAAGTTACGTACATAAAAGTACAATGCAGAACTTAAGTGCTGGTGCAATATTTACTTGCAAATCCCAGTTTAAACTGTCTGGTTCTGGTTGACCTAACTCTTAACTCATTGAGGCTGTTACTGAGTCACATTTCATTTGCAAAGCAAGGTGCTGGTAGTGCATGTAATTCTTCATTGAATCATTTAAAATCACATAGTTAGATGCTGTTAATTTTTTTCTTTCTCATAACTTTGAAATCAGAACTCACGTATAGATTGATCAAGACTATAAGCACGTTAAAGATCTTGAATTACCTAATAATTGATAGTTTCATTTCATTGGCATTAAAGAGTGCTGCTGCCAGCTGCATTATGGCACTGTGCAAATGATAGAGTGATGGTAGCGTTCAAAGGTGTTGTTGACTACTTGGGCTTCACGGGAATACAACCAATAATAGCCATAATATGGTATGAACATATTTGATATTTAAGGTAGCTTTTTTGAATCTAAATGTAGTCCTCAAACAGCTGGGGTTACTTGATCTTGTTTCTTTTTCTTTTGTTTTGTTATATTAGTAAGCGGTTCTCTCGTGCATTTCCAACTTCTCCATGACTCCATCCGTTCGAAGCTTGAGATTTCAACATCTGCCTCCACAAACCAATTGCCATCTGTACTCTTCAGTTTTCTCCAACATGTTAGGAGAGGGATAGGTCCGATTCTTTCATTTTGGTGTGGAAAAAAAAATTATCCAAAATGAGATCATCCTTGCGCACTACTTGCATAACTCAACAAAACAAAAATTTAAGCCTCATTCAACCCCGTCTAATATGCTGTCAGACCTTAAGTTACATTTATAGAGATTAAAGTTCTACACTATCAAAATAAAGAGGTCAAAGTAAAATTACGTTCTACTGTTTTTATGTCATCAAATGGGTTCTCATCGTAGAGAAAAAGTAAAAAGAAGAATAGGTTAACCATGCCTGATCTTGTTATATAGAACCTTCATAGAATACATTTGACATAATCATCCTATAATCAAACACTTCCCGATTCATTTATTTTTTAAAAATGGCCTTTAAACCTCTCAAACGTTTAAGTAAAACATCAAATTCCATCAAGTTTATTTTACTCGAGTACTATTTTGTTTTAGTCTTATTAACCACAAATATGCCATTTTATTTAATTTTGCACAAATTTTAAAGAGATTTAGGATACAGCAAATAAAAGAGCGTGGTCTGAGAAAAATAAACTAGAGGTAAAATACTGTGCACCCTAGGTATATTTTCCAAATTTATAAGATCTAACCAACGCAGATAGTGCAGCTGCTTATTTCTTAGTCTCGAGCCCAGGAACCATGCAATAAAAGAATAATTATCTATAAATCAAAAGATCGAACAGTATTTGGTGCTATTCAATTCTTTATATGTTATAATCCTTGACTAATGCCTTCAAAACACTTATTTTCCTATTTTCCTATTTCTTATTTTCTAGCTAATAACAGATATTCAGACCTTCAAAACGTTGAGTTGACGTCAGAACAAAGCTTTTATGTAAATAAACTATTCTTAATCATGTCCACACCCCAACCCAAAGACTACGAACTTCCCCCAAATGTACGAATTCTCTGTTCGATTGGAACCCAGCAGCATGGACAAACAGCTTTGCCATTTCTCCCATACTCTTCACTGCAACTGGCACACATAACTTGGTGTGCACATGGCAAGAAAACTACGGAAACCTCATATTTTCCACATATAACGCATTCTCTATAAGTATTACCGGTGGCTTCTTTTCCAAAAAAATCCGGCACGTTATCTAATTCTTGCAGTAGCTTAGCAATTATCTCTGTGTGGGGCTCTGCTTCCTCAGACTCACATGTAGGCAAAGTAGCAGACTGTGCAGATGCTTTGAGACACGAAATCTCCTGCTCCAGTCTTAAAAGATCATCTTTGCGACGCTGGAAATCTATCTCCATCTTCAGGCTTAAAGCCTTAAGATTTCTTTTTCTATTAGCCTCAGCTGCTTCCATAGAACGGCGTTCCTCTTCAATCAGTGCTAAGGCTTCCTCCTTAGCCTTTAACTCTTCATCCCTCATGACCTGTCATAAGTAATTATTACGCAGAATAAAGGATTCAAGACAAACATATGTTCTGATACACAGATAGTTTAATTATAAAGTAAGTTCGGGAAAAAAGGACTACCGAGCAGAAAATTAAGAAAAGCACCAGAGAAAAACTTCCATTTTCATGAGGTTGAATGGTGAGAAAGTTGCATTGAGTGCATTAAATGCGGACAAAATTGTATCAATACTAATCGATCAGAATGCAATGAACTGAACAAAATTTAGGTATATCCATGACAAACATTCATATGATTCACTTTCTAGATTACGAATAAGACACCAAGAAATTGAACGCGTGTATGTAGGATCGTCATGGACTAAAAGACATGAATTCTTCACATATCCGTCAACAGGCATATATACAAATATACACACTGCTATACCAGATAATTTGGAGCAATTTTCTAATTAACGTGAGCAATTCCAGAATATTAGTATAATTGTGAATTCATTCAAGAGAAATCACTTCAATTTTGGCTGATTTCAAATAAAAATAACAGACCAAGCATATAATCCAAAAGAACACCATGCATGTGTATATATATTTATACACATGCCAAGAAGCATATAGACACGCAATGAACGAGAGGAATTCAAAGCACCCTGTTGAGATTGTAGGTGCCATTATGTGCCTTGCTCAAATATCCAAGTCAGATACGTGTCTCATTGAACAAAGCTCCTCTTTTTTGCTTCCCATGATTCACAGTGCACATACACTGTCCTGTTACAAGCACAAGACATCCTAATGTAACAAATAAAAAAGAACACACGACAATTTTATCCAAGTCCCTGATGGTAAATACTACACCAAACCAGTAATATACAAACCCAAACTCAATAAACATTAGACAAGTGTCAAAATCACTCAACAGACTCCAAATTCAGGTTAGATACATTCAATTCAAAGCCATTATGCAGAAAATGTAGATTTCAAAATGATATGAGCATACCTCAGCTTCTTTTGCACGTTGTTTAATCTGAGCCAACTCTTCTTGTATCTCCAAAATCTTCTGCTTTTCATCTGAAATATTCTGTTTTATCTTCGCTTCCTGTTTTTCCCAAGCCAGAAGCTTCTTTAAGCACTTTTTCTCCCTTTTTGCAATTTGCAAGCAGCTTGCGACATACTCTGATGCACTTAATTTACAAGCTTCTAACTCTGCTTTGATTTCAGATTTCTCCGTCTCAAGTTTCCCAACTCCTGCAGTTGCAAGATCCGTTTGACCACAAACCTTTCTCAAGGCCTCCTCCAATTCTAAGAGTCTCACCATGGTAGGGTCCTCAAGCTCCTCATTTGCCTCTTTCCCCTTCTTCAGTCTTTGATTTTCCTCTCTTTCTATCCTGAATGTTTTCAGCTCAATTAGATAGCCGTTTAGCTTTCTTGCAGCTTGGATTGCCTTCTCATGTGCCCAATCTTTCCGCTCCTTTACCTGTTTCTCAAGATCCTTTATCTGATGCACTAGAGTGACTATCACCGAATCCTTCTCATCTTCTGCCACAAACTCCAAGTTCTCATCAATATTTAGATGATGAAATTTACTCAGCACAGACTTCAAGTCATCCTGGTCATTCATATTGTGAGAATCACCAGGCAGATCACCAAGCATTGTGGCCACAGAAGCAGATGAAGAGTCCAATTTCGAAACAGTGCTAATCCCAGGAAATTTTCCTTCATTTGGCTGCACCTGTTTTGAGTTGGCCTTGTATCCGTCAGCAAACGCTACAACATTGCTTTTCAACGAACAAATCATGGCAGGAGTAAGATCAAATTTTTTCGGGAACTCAATGTCTCTCTGTAAACGTACAGTCATCTCCTTACCACAAAAGAACCCTTTCAAAGGAATATCTGAGCCTCCTTTTCTAAATCCCCGTTCCTCGTTCTCAAGCTCGGTTAAAGGAGGAGGAAACATGCTTACAAAAGGAACATGAATGGTAATTGCCTTTAACACATTGTAATCGTTCATGAGGAGACACCACATAGCATCACCCTCGCCTAACTCGAGTCTCACTTCTTGCAACAAAGACACAAGATTCTTCAGAGTGTGCTCCTCAAGCTTCTTCAAATCAGAGAACGCAGGCTTGAACTCATACATGTCCATGCTCCCCTCTTCTAAACAAGCCAAGGTGTAGTGCAGCAGGTCTGTAGCCAAGTCATTGGAGCCATAACAATGAACATTGAGCAAAATCGCTTTCACGGCAATATCCTCATTGTGCCCCAAAGCAACAAGCTTTGACACAGTGTCCTTGTATATAATTTCCATGCGTTTCAACGAAATGTCTTTCAATTGAACCTCATTACACAAAACCCAACTGGATGAGTCAACATTAGGGTTTGAATCAGAAATGGGACCCTTGACAGCATAGTATTTATAGGGCACCATCCATCCATTGTCTGAATTGGAAGATGATTCTTTCGTCCAGAGTGTTTTGCAATTAGCTTGATCGTTTGTGTTCTTCACACTGAAACCCATGTTATCATTCTAATAATTTTGTGAATGTGAAGTAATTCAACACAAAGAGATAAAAACAAATGAAATTGAAAAGAAATAAGGATAGTGACACTCACAGAGGGCTATTGGAGAGAATATTATCACTGTAATTCATTGCCCTCTTCTATGTTTCGTTCATAGAACAGAGCAATGAAAATCTGAGTGCCGAGTTCAGCTTGTATCAGTTCTTTCACTCAAGTTCAGTGAAGCTCAGTGCCACCTCAAATTTTCCTTTCTGGTTTGGTCAATTTATAGCTTTCTCTATGTGGGCCCTCGCCCTCAAAAATGTTTGGGCAATCCTCTACTTTTGCTTTTAGCACCTCCGTAATTGTTTTCCACACTATCCTGTCCCACTGAATAACGAGATATTATTACTCTTTTTTATGAAAATATTATTAATGTATTAAAAATGAAATTACATATTTTGGAAAATATTGGCAAATATAAATTACAGTATTAATTTCCAAAATACATTATAAATTATTGATCTTTTACTCTCCTCTCATTATAATATCGGCAAAATTGTATTATTAACATTAGGAAAGATGCCGGAAAAAAAAAATTAACATTTGGAGAGATTGTAATTATCTTTCTCTTGTATAGTATTGTAAATAACAGTCACATTTTTTTATTTTAAAATATATTTTCATATTTTATTAACAATTTTCATTAAACAAAAAGCTACACTATAAATCATGATCTAAAATTAAATATCGGTAAATTAAAGTAAGTAAAACAAATAAATAAAAAGGGTTTTTATTGTTTTCTGATTTCGTTCATTTTCTTCCATTAAGTTGAAGTTTATTTATAGAAGATATTTTAATATTAAATTAATATTTATTTGACAGTTACCATAGCATAGTTATAGTTGATATGTAATAAATATAATTATTTACTTTTTTATCTTAAATATGTACTTATAATTTTTTTAAAAAAAATTCTATTGATAACATTCTTTACATTAAATTAATTAAAAATAGTGTTAATTTTAAAATAAGAATGATTATACGGTTTATTATGTAAATATCATCATAGGATCATTAACTACAATAAGAAAAATCATAAATGATTAAACACGTAAAGAACCAGAATCTTTAAATACTTACAAGCTTATGAATAACACTGCACAAAAGGATAAACATGAGGTAAACGATCATGCTAAGAGACAGGACAATGACTAATAAAGAATATTTGCACAGAAGGATAAGTATATTTCACCTCTACTGGATGAAACTGAACATAAAGAGAGTAAATTTCTCAAACTGTACAAAAATGTTCCAATTTATAGATATAGAAAAAATGTTTTCCTTCCAAAATTCTCAATTTTAATGTTAAATTTATTTCATTTCATTTAATAAGTAGTTTAAATACTATTTATCAATTACCTCAATTCACTTGTATCTTTAGTTATATTTTATCACTTTTATCATACTTAAAATTTAAATAATAAGAAGAAGGAGGAGTTGTAAAGTTAAGTCATTACTACTACCTGTCTATATATATCTTCAGTTTGAAAACATTATTACTGTGTGAGACAAAATCATTACTAAAAATATTATGAACAAATGAAGGTATATATATATATATATATATTATTTGTATTATCCTTCGATAAATTATGATAATAAAATACTAATGAATATATATGTTATTTGTATTATCAGTAGATTATGAACTAAATTTTTATAATTTTATATAAAAGTAACCAAGGATCTATTATTAAAGCATATATCTAAAGTTAAAAAGAAAATAAAAGATTGGTCAGTGGTAATATTAATGTACATTCAATTGTTACCACTAAGGGTGTTTTCATTTGGGTTAATCGGGGGAGATGATTTGGGAAAAGTGATTGAATGAATTTGAGGGTATTTTTTTTTTGTGTTTACTTGAGTGTATTTGGATATAATTGAGAGTGGATTTAGAGGTAAAGTGTGTGAGAATTAGTATAAGATTTGATTGATGTGACAATTTTAAAATATTTGTTTAATTGGTAGAAATTGAAGATTACGAAAATGTCCCTAGTTATTAAAATAATATAAAATGATAATTGTTAATGTTATATTTAATTGTAAATTTTTTTATGAAGAGTAAAAAATTAAAAAATTAATTTTTAAAAAGTAAAAAAATTATAATTTAGTAAAATGAATTTATTTTTAATGTAGTATTTGCTTATAATATAATTTAGTTCAAAGTAGTATGAATTGATTTGTTATGAAAGTGAAATTTATTAATTTTGAATACAACTTATAATATTACATGACATAAAATAAAAAATGTTTATAAAGAGTAAAAAATTAACATTAATTATTAGTAGTAAAAGTAATATGCAATGATAATTGTTAATATTATATATAATTGTAAAAATTACTATAAAGAGAAAAAAATAATAAAAATTATTTTTTAATATAAAAAATAAATTATTTATTATTATTATTATTTGAATATAATGTAATTTATTAGTGGAAGATGTAACAAAATATGTAGAAAGTGTAACCGAATATGGTAGAAAGAGAATAAAATAAGGGGTTGTGATGAGCAATGGTAAGGAGTTCATACTAACCTTTAAACATTGGCTCTTTTTTGTATCACAAATTGGATAATCATCTACATGTCTTTACAACACACAGCAGAAGTTAACCCACGCTGCAACGTCTCCAACACAGCTTGTAATCGAATATAGCTTCTGCTATCTGAATACACTTATGGGGAAACCAAATACGCACGAGACTAACCGAATCCGAATACACTTCTGGGGGAACGGCAGGAGACTAACCGAATACGGTTTCGCATGGTTTTCTTCATACGCCTGTAACCGGATACGTCGTCTTTGAACCGAATACGCTTTCACAGTTTTTCGCCTTCTCTAGCTTCGCACAATCCTCTTCTTCATCAACCACTTTCTTCTTCATCTCCTCCACCCATCCACCCATCCACCTTATCTTCTTTATGAGTGCACGGTAGCCAATTTCGAGCTTCGAATGCATGGTTATGAGCTAGTATATTATATTAATCATGCAAAGCAAAACTGGACGCGAAATTATGAAATTGGAGAGGGGCACATTCGACTTTTATATTACGATTCCTCCAAATGGCCTCTGCTAAGTGGGTGACGAAAAACCAACGCATCCCGTAATTCAATCGCATTCTTTTCGCGCGATTCTCTTCAAGCAAACACGGGTTTCTCTTCTTTTCATCGCTCATGTTATGCGTAAACAGTAAAATACCTCCAAGTAAACACAACATAAAAGATAGGATAAGCATAATATAGTGGATTTGACAGACCCATCAATCTATAGTCAAATTTAGCCAAACATCAATGCTTTTAAAAGAAACCTGAGTGGACAATTAATGATTTTTTCTATTTTAGTCACAGATTTTCTAAATTATTGAGTTTGATGCTTCCGATTAAGTTGAGTAGATCCGTTGAACAAGTAAGTTTCATATTATTTATAAAACTAATTTTTTTAAAGAAAAATAAAAGTTACTACTTAAAAAATCAACTCTTGAAAACTTTATGATTGGCCATATATCGTACTTTTTGAAGAAGTTAAATTACCTTATTATTTTGGAAATATACCTTTCTAAAATATTTTAAAACGAAAAAAATATTTTCTAAGAGACTAACACGTGTTATAACTAAACGTCTTACATCTATATTTCAACATAAGTCTCATGTTCATGCTTCCCAATTAGAAAATTGATAAATATACACTTTCATGTGGTGCACATTAATTATTTATCTTCATATTTTCTTTCTGTATTTTTTGAACTATTGGTTAAACCAATGTAATAATTTGGTTAAATTGATCAAATTATTAGTTAAATTAATGTCTTAGACAATATGCCAACTGAGACTTTACATAATAATTAAAAGGTATTTGGAAATCTACATGATCATAACAAAATATTGTAACAACATAGAATATCAATTATCAATATATTTATCAATAATTAAAGAAGAAAAAGTCTCAGGTGAGACATTGTCATTAATATCACCTGGGAGCAATAGTAAAAATTATTAGGTCTAGTACAATTCTAAAAGACTGATTAAACATGATGAAAATTGTTATTTAAATAATTTCGAATTCAAATTGTTTCTTGTAACAAAGAAATTGTAGGAATATGAGGATTAAAAAGATATTATTAACGTTATGAATAGTTGTATTATTCAAAACCTTAGTTATCTCCAGAGTGAACAGTGTACATTAAAAAACTGGTAATGTTACAAGAGTTGGAAGAAATAAAATAGAAAAAGAATGTAAATTTTTTTGGAAAAAGGGAGAGATTGGAATATAAGTAAAAGGAAGGACCACAATTTTAGATTAAGCAGTCATGCTCCTTATCTGTCATCTTGTATCTTAGTAATAATAATTCCTATTCTTCGCTCTGTTTTCTCTGTCTTTCCCACTGTATTTGCACAAAGGAAAATGTTAAAAGTGGTCCTTTTCTGCTTCACTAATTATACTCTCACAACTCATCCTGCACATTGAACAATTTTTCTTACAAGTTATTAGGAAGAAGTATATCTTAAAAGTATTTTTTAATATAGGACATGTTGTTGAACTTTATAATTTCTATCCATTTAAACTGACATATGTATTGTTTATTATCCAAATTTTTTCAAATTCTAAAATGTTTAACCAAACAATTAAAAGTTTGGAATATGATAAAGTGCATTCAGCAAAGCTGAAATCTGAAAAGAGGAATCTAAGAGTGTTCGTAATTATCTAGGTGGACTGGACAGGAGGATCAAAACTTCTGAATACTCTTTAAATTAATTTCTGTCGCATCTAACATATTTTCTTGGCCATTGTTTTTTTTCAAATGTCCTCGTACATATGCAAAAACTCTCTCTCTCTCTCTCTCTCTCTCTCTCTCTCTCTCTCTCTCCACTTCAGCAGTAACAGTTGACAAGGATCTGTGTTTGCCCCCACTGGGAGTACACTATTCTATTTAATCTAATTTTTTCCTGAGAGTGTGTTAACTTTTTTTTCCTTGTTGTTGATCTTGTTCTTCTTTATCTCTCCCTTTTCAGTTGTTTCATGCATGGCTCCCTAAGGGAAAGAGAACTTCGTTTGTTACGTTACCCCGTCTGCAAATTTAGTTACTTTCACAATCTGCTTCGTAAAAGGTTTTTCTCTTCCTCTGATTCTGCTGCTATTAATGACAAAGGACAGTTCATTTTCCATGTTTTTTTATGCCATCGTCAGCTTTCATGTTTCAGTTCTTTTCCAAGAGTTGT